CAGGATGACACTTGTTGCATTGCAGGTTCTAACAAAAGTTTGCATGCAGAATGTATTCACGATTTTCATCGAAAATTTGGTCATTTGCATTTTGAGGCAGTATCTAAAATGCCTGCCTTGGTTGAAGGTATGACTATTAAACCCTGCAGGTACCACATGAAGTGCAAAGCATGCGCAGCAAACAAGGTGAAAATGGCTGCGAAAGGTAAGGTGTCTAGTAGGAAAGCTACAGAACCATACCAGGTTGTTCATGCTGATTTGGTTGGACCACTAGCGCCCTCTTTGGGTGGAAATAGATACTTCATGGTTCTCATTGATGCATTTTCTAGATATATTTTTGTGTACAATCTCAAGCAGAAATCGGAGGCTTTTCCTAGGTTCAAGGAATTCTGTGCTTGGTTGGAAAATGTGCATGGTAAGAAGATAAAGACTCTTTTCAGTGATCGCGGGGGGGAATTCACTTCTCAGCAGTTTGAAGCTTTTCTGACTGAGAAAGGAATTCAACACGATTTGTCTAGTCCTCGCTCGCCATGGCAGAATGGACTTGCGGAACGGGCAAATCAGACTTTGCTTCAAGGGTTAAAAACCTTGCTGCATGATGCCAATCTTCCAGAGAGTTATTGGGCCGAATCTCTCTCGTGTTTTGTTTACAGTTACAATCGCAGGTTATCTTCAGCGATTGGTTGTACTCTCTATGAGAAGATGTTTGGCAAGAAGCCATACATCAAACACATGAAGATTTTTGGTTCTGACATGTGGGTTCGCTCACCACAAAACTCCAAGTTAGACAAGCGTGGATTGCATGGTATCTTTCTAGGTTATCAGAAAGGGTCTTACAGAATAATGATGACTGACTCTAAGACAATTAAGCTCACGAGAAGTGTCGAGTACAATGCAAAGTGGGGGAGAATGTGGGAATTTTCCAATGTTATCCTGATGACGGTGATGAGACTGAGGATAGTCAAAAGCAACCACAACAGCCCACACCCACTGATGAAGGTTCTGAGTCTGAATCTGAAACTGAATCGGGTGATTCAGAGGATTTCAAGAGTGCGAAAGCCTCTATGCGACCCTCTGAAAGCTCTGATCAAGAATTGGAGGAACCATTGTTCACAATAGGTCGTTTTTCTCCTAAGAAAGAAGAGGAGAGTGTTGAAGACTTAAGGCTAATTCGTAGGTCACAGAGAGCCACAAAAGGCAAACCTCCAAAGAGATTTGCTGATGAGTTTGCTAAGATAGCAGTAACAGCTGTTAAAAGCTCCAAGAAGGTATTTGAACCTTCAAGTTTCCAAGAAATCCAGGGTTTGGATTCAAAGGAAGCTGAGCCATGGTTAAATGCCATGAAGGCTGAGCTTGATTCCTTAGAAAGGAACAAAACATTGGAGCTAGTTCCAGTAGTTCCAGGAATGAAACTGCTTTGAAGCAAATGGGTCTTCAAAGCGAAGACAGATCAAAATGGCAAGATAGTCAGACACAAAGCCAGATTGGTAGCCAGAGGTTTTGCACAGGTACCAGGTGAAGACTATCACGAGACCTATTCACCCACAGTGAGATATGAAAGCATTAGGCTTATGCTTAAGCTAGCTGCAGAGGAAAATCTACACATTAGTCACCATGATATTAATACAGCTTTTCTGTACGGATCTCTAGATGAATCACTTTATATGCTTCCACCTGATGGCGTACAGGTAAAACAGGGATTTGTTTGTGCTCTGAAGAAATCCCTTTATGGTCTCAAACAAAGTGCACGGTGTTGGCACACAAAACTCACTGAAGTATTGTTTTCTCTAGGTTTTCAGCAAGGGAAAGCTGATCCATGTGTATTTGTCAAAGAGGAGGGGCAAAAGAAACTGTACTGTTTGTTTTATGTTGATGATTTATTATTCTTTTGGAAAGATGTTGCAATGTACAATAGCGCCCTAGCTCAACTGAAAGAGCACTTTGACATGAAAGATCTTGGTGAGGTAAACAACTACCTATCTCTGGAAATAGAGAGAGATCAAGATGGTAACATTCTAGTACACCAGTCACGGAAAATTGCTGATGTGTTAAGCAAACTAAATCTGATGGATGCTAACCCTGTAAACACACCGATGACAACAGGTTATCAGGTAGATGACACTGAAGAAGCATTTTCTGACACTACACTGTACAGGAGTGTGCTAGGCAAGCTAAACTTCATTGCCAGATGTTCAAGACCAGACATTGCTGTTAGCTGTAATTTGCTAAGCAGACAAGTCAACAATCCTAGTGTCAAGGATTGGAAAGCTCTGAAACGCATAGCGCGGTATTTGAAAGGCACTATGCATTACAGACTGAGATTTAACAATCAGAAGTCTGGTGGTCTTGAGATATTTGCAGATGCAAGTTTTGGAAGTGACACTACAGACAGGAAAAGTACGTCTGGAGTTTGCTACATGTACAATCAGGGTCTTTTTGATTGGTCATGCAAGAAGCAAACAACAGTTAGCTTAAGTACTTGTGAAGCCGAACTGAATGCACTGTCTTATTCACTTAAGGATTGTGGATGGTTAGTACAATTGTGCAAAGATATGAAAATTCCTGTCAAATGTCCAATCCAGGTTTACCAGGACAACAAAGCATGTTTGGCTTTGCTCAAGTCTGAAGGTTGTAAGCAAAGCACAAAGCACTTGCAATTAAAGTTGCAGCATGCTAGGGAATGTATTCAGAAGGGACTCGTAACGGTGTCCTATATGCCAGGTAATGAAATTCCTGCTGATGTATTGTCCAAGATTGTATCGAGGGATCAACACTGTACCTATGTGCAGAAGTTGGGTTTGTACTGATACTGTACGAACACGCTGCCCAGTGATGTTCACAGAAAGGGGGAGGATGTTAGTTTCTGCTTTCCTTCACTGTGCAGCTCTGCTTGTCACGAGACAGGTGTTTACATTCCACAGTCTGTACTGTTGGAGTTTCTCACGGGAAAGGGAGACTGGATGTGACGTACACTGGTTTCCTGTTTTTCACTGTGTGATTCTCTCCGAGCTGTCGAGGAGAGAGGATGCATTTTCTGCTCCGGCAGAGGCAAGATGTCTTTCTGTAATATACCAGCTTTGAACTGTAAATAAAGCAATATAGAGTATGCAGCACATATTCCTCATCCTTCCGCTGGGCACAAGACTCTGCTTTAAATCAACAGTACACACCATACACTTAAAGCACATATAAAGTGTATGACCCACCCAACTGTAGTCCCCCCCCCCAAAAGAGCTACATTTCCCAGCACAAAACTAGAGCTCCAGGAATTATTTGGGAGAAGCCATCTGCTTTATAAATTTGTTTTATTTGTGTGGTGTATATGCAGCCTTAGTGGTTATGTCCAAAGGTCCAGCTATTCTGGGATCTGGTTATTATCACATTCATGACGTTTGCCACTTCCATTAAGGGACAGCTTTATGGTTGCCTCCCATGGTGAAAACCGAGCTGTTCCCACCAGTGAAATGAGAAGTCAAGCTCTTGTGAGTAAGATGGTTCCACATGCTTGTCACTGTATTGAAGTGATTATCCTCGTGGTTATAGAGCGATATCATTATGGAGAGTCAAAAGGGTGCCCTGAACATCTTCTCAGTTTTATAGAATGCTTAAAAGTTTAACTGCATCTATCATTTCCCTGGATTTATAATGCTTGATCTTCAGGCTTCTTTTACAACGCTGCCATGATTGTTTTTAACTTTTACAATGCTAGAAGCTTGTGGAAACATGTCTAGGGCTAACTCTAGGTGATTTTCATAATGTATTGGCACCTGAGCAATTTCTTAAAACCCATTACTGTATTTATTGTGGGCTAAGCCCCGTACATAATTTATGTGTCTGGTTAGCTTTAACCATTTTTCTTTTTATTGCCTTCCTTCCCCACATCACCTTTCTAATATTCAGTGTAAGCATTTTAAATATGCAGTGCCCCACCGCTCCAATCCAGAGCACTTTTGCTAGCTCATTTCCCTCCCCAGGTAATTTAGCCATCTCTGAATCATAAGCAGGGGTGGCCCAATTAAATACACCAGGGATAGGGAACATTTGGCCAGATGTTGCTGGACTCCAACTCCCATCAGCCCCAGCCAGCATGGCCCGTGGGAGTTGTAGTCCAACAAAACATCTAGATTAGGTCATAGTTTCTTCATCCTTGGTAGTTTAGGTTAGCTAATCTTGCAGCGTTATAATTCAAGAGGCTCACACCGTACTGGAAGCCATGGAAACATTTGGCCTCCGTTTCAGGCAAATGACAGACTCACCCAAGCGGAGAGTAAACCCAATAATCCTCTGCAACCTGCAACAGGAGCTGCAAAGCTCTTGTACTTTGTGAAGGGACACACTCAGCCTGCTCCACCTTGTGTGGCAAGAATCTTGAGCTATTCCTGATTATGTTGCCATCTAGCATCATCAATGTACATGGCACTTTTCACAATAACTACCACGAAGGGCATATAATCTAAAGCGTGCAAATCAGCAAACACTAAGACCTGGTCATGATGATCCTTTAGTATCCTTGGGGGTGTGTGTGTTTTGTTTCCCATTATTTATTGGGAATTGTATGTCAAATAATTTGATCCAGGTGCATATTTTGCCTCTGAGTAAGGTTTTAACTTGTTGGCTGAAAAGAAAGCCTGCTTAGTGAAATAAATACAGAGAACATTCGGTGCAAAATGTGGGCACAATGCAGTGGGAAAATGGGTGCCCTGAAGTCCCATTAATTTCAGTAAATGGGAAATATGGAGGACATGCTTAAATTTCGCACCACAGTAGGTAATGCATCAAATTAACAGAGATTCCCTTATAAAACCTATCCTTTCCAATGCTGTTCATTTGTAGAAGCAAGGAAGCTAAAATCATGCTAAAGAGTTGCTTGAGGGAGAAGGGGAGGATGAGTGGGGGACTACATCCATCCTCCCACAATTGCCCTGAACAGTTGACTAGTGTGAATGTAGTTCAGCTGGCTCATGTGCACACCTGGAAGAAAGAGGCATGATAGGAGGGAGGACCATAGCTCAGTGGTAGAGCATCTGTCTTGCATGCAGAAGGTCCTAGGAAGGGCTGGGAGAGACCCCTGTCTGAAGTCCTGGACATCTGCTGCCAGTCAATGTAGACAACACTGAGATAGATGGATCAATGGTCTGTCTCTGCATAAGGTGGCTTCCTGTGTTGGGTACATAGGGCCATGGCACAAAGGAGAAATGCAGTTTTATAGCTGTGCAAGAAATGTTTGCTGAGGTATAAGTCGACTGCCAACTTCTTCCTCCAATGTCAATTAAATGGACCAAATCGCCGGCCTGCTTTCTATTAGCAAGGCCTTAGATGCTCTCTGAGGCTCTCTGAGCTCAGTCTCCACCCTGAACCAAAGGTCCAAGGATTTTGGTTAAGTACCAAAATAATCCATTTGCTAAATAACCCATCTGTGGAATCCTCAGTCACCATAAAGGGCATTTCACAGTGACTCTGCTGCCACTCCTTTTTCTACGGTGCCTATCACTAATGTTAGACAAACCTAACTGGCAGCACACCTGCCTGTTGTCCCCATCCTTTCCACAGGCATAGTATGGAGCAGATGGTGGAGAGGGAGGGAACCCATTGCCCATACCCTATCAAAATGCCAGGCAAAACAATTCATACTCTGCCCCAAAGCAGCCACTCTTACCTATATTGCTACCTGTAGGGCAGAAGGGTGATTCATTACACAGAAGGAGTAGCCTGAGTGGTGCTGGCTTATAGAGCATCCTATTGATACAAGGATGCTATGTGTCTCTGCACTTCCTAGTATGCTTTGCTCCGAGAGCAGGCATTAACTGTCCCCATGCCTGCTAAGGGGAGGTAAAAGGTAAAGGTACCCCTGCCCGTACGGGCCAGTCGTGTCCGACTCTAGGGTTGCGTGCTCATCTCGCTCAAGAGGCCGGGAGCCGGCGCCGTCCGAAGACACTTCCGGGTCACGTGGCCAGCATGACGAAGCTGCAGCTGGTGAGCCAGCACCAGCGCCGCACACGGAAACGCCATTTACCTTCCCACTAGAAAGCGGTACCTATTTATCTACTTGTATTTAGGGGTGCTTTCGAACTGCTAGGTGGGCAGGAGCTGGGACCGAACGACAGGAGCTCACCCCGCCGCGGGGATTCGAACCGCCAACCTTGCGATCAGCAAGTCCTAGGCACTGAGGTTTTACCCACAGCGCCACCCGCGTCCCCTGCCTGCTGAGGGGAAGAGGAACATAAATAGCAATGGGACTGGAGATCTAGCTGTGCATATACATTGGTACCTTGGGTTAATTCGTTCCAGAGGTCCATTCTTAACCTAAAACTGTTCTTAACCTGAGGTACCACTTTAGCTAATGGGGCCTCCCGCTGCCACCGCGCCACCGCCACATGATTTCTGTTCTCGTCCTGAGGTACAGTTCTTAACCCGAGGTACTATTACTGGGTTAGCGGAGTCTGTAACCTGAAGCGTCTGTAACCCGAGGTACCACTGTATATCCTTTTGTGTGTGAGAAAGATTCCTCATCCAGATATGTGTGCAAAACGAAAAGCTACCTGTACCTGAAGCAATACTGTATGCATTTTAACTAATCTTTCATTTCTCATTATACATTTAATTAATTTGTAGCAAAGCCTGGTTTTTATCTGTTCTTATTTGCACGCTCAATTAACATAAAAGTATTTTAAGGAAAAATAAAAGGGATGTCACCAGGCTTAACTGTGGCTGAATCATGATGATCCTCCTCTTTTTAGAAAGAATTTCAAATCCTGCAGTGATCAAACAGTTAGAACATCCTGCAGTTAGAACATGATTGTGTTGTGAACTTAGATGCTAGCACAAAAAAGATGAATTAGCCTCCTGTTTAAAACAAGCCTGCTTAATTTACATCAAAAAAAGTTTGGGTTTTGTTTTATATATGTATAAAAAACAATATTATCAAAGGATGAACAAGAAATATCTACTTAGTGGCTTAAGCAAAGCTCACTTCATCTTGCTACATAAATTATGCATGCATCTTCCAAGCATCTTAACTGTATCATCTCTTAAATAACAGAACAGAAACCATTAAGAGACTGTTTGTGCATGCTTCACAATTTGAATCTATCCCTTTGATCACTTCCTGATTTTCTTATCAGTTCTGATTAACAGACAGAAATAGTTCAAACAATGTAATTTAACAACTGTGTGTTTTTCCCCTTTAGAGATTGCACAAGATATATATACTTTATTAAAAATTCATTTACTTTGTTTATTTGTAATAAGGTTGAAATAAATCATACTGTATCTTTGAGCTACTCTCTCTTGATTGCTTTCTGAAGAATTCTTTACAGGGGAATGCTGTAAAGATTTTTTTTGGTAAGCACACATTTTTAAATAAACGTGTTTTTTAAAAAAAATTATAATGTAACTAATCATTGAACCATCAAATAGAAAAACAAAGCCATCACTATATTATGATTATTGACTTGCTGGTCAATAAAAATTATTGAGCACAATCAAGCAAAACTGAATGGCTTTCAAATCCCATTGATTCAGTGACAGGAGTTATGCATGTATTTAAATCTTTTGCCACTGAAATCAATGGCAGATTTGAAATCAACTAATATAAAAGTGTGTGGCTGTGACTGGCTCATCCTCATTGCCTCATACTTGCCCTGCTTTTGCCAATTTGTAGAAACAGCCCAGTTGCAAATATTCTAATCATTCAGGTAAGCAGCTGGAGACCTTAAGAGAGCTAAACTAATATGGTGGGTTATCCAGGTACAACTCATCTTGAACAGAAGATACATGGAAACCCTATTAGGTATCATTGCCCTAAGAGGCAACATGCATGCAGTGGGGCTGTGTGATGTGCCAAAATCTTTCGTCCAATTTCTTGAAAGTTTTCTTCTGTTGCAAAAGAGGCATCCATTTTTCTAACTCCTTGTGAGGCAACTTGATAATTTCTTTACAGTGCTTGTAGATTCTTTTTTTCCAGCGCAGGGTTTGGGACTTGCCTCATCATTGCAAAGTGGCCACAGGTGTTTTCCAGTAAACATTACTCCAGAATTCTGCAGTCTCCACAGCTGCCCATGCTTCCTGATCTGATCTGCAAAAGCCACCTGGGAGGAGTTTCCTAATTATACCTTCCCTTAGTCTTTAACTGAAGCATGAGCACCTGGGAAAGCTGCTGAGTGCAGACCATTGGAAAGATGATTTGCAGAATTAAAGAAAGGACACTCACAGCCCTCCGGCCCTGACACTTCAGGAGTAAGGTAAACACAACAGAACCCTTATACCCAACCCATGACTATTTCATTGACATTTTCTATTGTATTGGATAGTTTTGGATAAATATTATTCTTGCGTTAACAGAAGGGAAATGGCTGGAAAAATGCAGGAGACTTTTTCAGCACAGCACTGATGCAAAACACCCTACTTGCATGTATGTTTCTACTTCTCACTTGGTCTAGGCAACTGTTGACCACTGCTTGGCTATTTAGCTTGCTTGCCAATCTAGACAATTCTTCCCAGAATTAATCCCTGGCTGCCTTCCTCATACTGGTTTGCAGTTATGATGCGTTGCTTTACATTGTGGGGTAACAGAGGTTTTGGAAAAGGCATCTACAGAGCCGCAACTAGGATCTGACCATGCCACCCACCTCCCATTAGAAAAACACTTTTTTTTTCTCTCCTGGGAACATGTACTGCAGATACAACTGGTCTTTCCATAAGTTGATTTGTTTAATATTAACAGCCTAAAAGGACCTGAAATTTGTGTGCAAATTGTAGTTTTGTATTTTTTTATTTTAAAAAGAGAACATATTGTCAAAAACATCTTTAAAAATAGTTTTGATATGATGACAGAAGAAATGCTATTAGAAAGGGCCAGGGTGTCCAGATTTCCCTGCCACTGAAAATAACTATGGAATATGTAGCACTTAGATTGTAGCTGCACCAGTAACATCATCATGGGAATGCCCTCAGGAATAGCCATCTTGTCAGCTGGCAACTCCACTGTCTTATAACATAAGAATATAAAAATCGTAATGAATATCTTACTTTTGTTGTAAGGTATTGTGGCTTACAATGAAAGGCATTTTGACTAGCCATTTATATGGGTACATAACAAAACTCTCGCTGAACAATCTAGTTTTAGTATGCAGTTCTGATGCATGTGAATAAACGAATAAAATAAAATACACACATTTAGTTAGTGCATTTGAAAGAGGAGAAGCAATTATTTTGGAAGCACCCTAGTGCTCCTTCTGATATGTTACATTGTCCCCTTGGAAAAGTACCTGAGAATGGAATAAATACACATGGATAGTGTCTTACATTACACTGCCAAATAATCTGTGCTGGTGAGGGGGTGAGGAGGTTTTGCAAGTTAGGATGGATCTCTGTCAACTTCACATGATGGATTTTTTTCTGTGAAACATGATAATGCATTCTGGCACTTTGGTTTTTATGCCTATTTCTTCTGCAAAGGTGGGGTGATGATATATGGGCTTGGGCCACTCATGATGGGAGACGTTTGCTGTAACTCAGAGGTACAGCATCTGCTTTACATGCAGAAGGTCTCAGATTGAATAACTGGCATCTCCAGGTGGGGCTGGGAGAGACCATGTCTGAAACCCTGGAGAGCTGTTGTTGACAGTATTGAGCTACATAGACCAATGGTCTAACTTGGTATAAGACAACCCTCCTATGTTTATTACATCAGGTTTATTTACCTTTTTTCTGCTGAAATGGTCCTAGGTAGTTCATTTTTCTCATCTGCCCTCTGAAGTCCAGACAGAACAATGCAATCGTAGACTTCATCTTTAGGATATAAGAAAGGGCTCAAATCCATAGAGATGAAGTTTTAAGTACAACTGGTCTAAAGCAGCCAGAAACGGTATTTTAACAGCTGAGGTAGACAACTCCTCTGGTGACAGTGTGTGAAGTATGGCTGAAATATTCAGTGTCTGGTCAGTGAGCAGCTAAAGGAAAGTGCACAGTTCAGACAACAGATCTCTCCAAAGCAGATGTAAAAATAAAAGGTGGGACTTGCGTCTGACACTAAGGATTGTTAGAATTGGATGAGTGTAGACTTGCTT